AAAGAAGGGTACTCAAATCTTCAGCATACAATAACACTGCAGACGATGGCACACGCTCCACTTCATGCAGTTCCAGACCTAGCTGCTTCCTCTCTGGGTATTGGGACATAGAGTAGGAGCCTAAATTAGGTTCTCAGAGTCACCTGTCAGAAGACCCTCCTCTCTCTTATTTGATTACATAGGAGTTCTGTGAGGACCTACTCAAAACTGGTTGCCAAAAGTTGCATGATCAACATTACAACACCAGCCTTCATGGAGAAATGCAGTCGTACATCAGATAAATAGTACACTGCTTCGCTACATCACTTACATCTAGAGCTGATCTGAAGAAGCATGTCAGAGGGGAAGCCTCAAGCGCTGAAGGACTACAGCTGCAACATTTATTTTAGCCACAGTTGGAAAGCTGTTCCGAAGAAGATCCTATATAATACTTTCTTGAGAAAGGAACATGAGACGTAGTTATTCTCAAGAGTGGCTGTTAAAAGTTACAAAAAAGGGAACTCTTCAAGGCTTTTCTCTTCTTTAAACTTCAGTTGCTGGTGCACAGAGGAAGTCATCTTGTTCTATACTTATCTCACTTCCCAGGGAAGCAACTAAGCTCCATGAAACTCATTCTCATGACCTTTTTAAAATTAATAGTAATGTCCTGTAATTCTTCAAAAGTATGGCAACACTCGAAAATTCAAATCAATTATTTCGAAGTGTTGATAGTCAAGGTGCAATATTTAGGCACTGGAAATCTAGACTTACATGCATCTCAGGTCTAATATCACTGTTTACTTTGCCTTCGATGAAAAAAGAACTGATTCTTTGTTTTATGACCATTTGAAAGGTATTTTAGCTGTATTTGCAGAAAATAATTTGAGGAGGGGAAGTTTGCTTATACTGAAAAATAATTGATTGAAGCTGCCATTTCACTTTTTCTGGATTCTATGAGATACTGCTATCTACCAACTTCAATAAATCAAACATAAAAAGAGTGCTGTCTTTTCCTTTAAATCTAGATAATGCCATGGAAGAGTAAGATTAAGTGTGGTACAGAAAATACCAATACTATAGAAAAACAAAAGTAAAAGCGATGGGATTATGTTATGCCTGAAACTACCTTTTAGGCATAGTATTAACAAATTAAACATTTAGACTAAATGGAATGCAAACAAAATGGAAAGGATTATTTCTAGTGATGAAATGGGTTAAATGATCTTTCAGTCTGTCATCTGTCATATTAGCTGTAAAGGCACACACGCTTAAAATATAGATATATTTTACTGTGAAGATTTTAATCTAGTGTTGTTACAAGAAGCAATTATGCATACTAATCAGAAATATGGGGAATATTACAACAATAAAGAATTCTGTCCAATAAGTTTATTCAGTTTAATTGATGATATTTTAGAAAGCAGATCATTTCACTTTTATAATCTTCTAGCTGTGGATTCTATAAACATCCTATTGAAATTAGAAGTATTAGAAAGACAAAAACTTGGTTCAGTTTTAATTTTAGGCTCCTAATATCTGCTCTGAGCACCTTTCACGTTGTACTAATGGAAATTCAGCATTGGTCCTCTGAAAAATGTTAGGCTAAGGACAACTCAGTAAGGAAAGATTGCAGGAGAAGATTTATATAGAATTTTAATAGTTGTTTTGTAAACGGTGCCTTCACATGCTGCAACAATGGCAGTGAGTCACAGGGAAGGGAGCGAGTGGAGCCGCGTTGCTGCAAAGATGCCCCAGAGAGCACAGAGTTATGGGTGCTCCCACAAGGGAGCACATGGGAACCAGCCCTTGAGGGTTTCCTACCACTTATTCATAGATTCATAGATTCATAGATTCATAGATTTCTAGGTTGGAAAAGACCTTAGAGATCATCGAGTCCAACCATCCCTAATCCCCATTAAACCATATCCTCAAGTAGCTCATCCACCCTATTCTTAAACACATCCAGGGATG